AACACCATCAAGGTCCATCCATGTTGTTGCAAATGGAACGATTTTGTCTTTTTTATGGCTGAGTGCTATTCCATTGTATATATACCACATCTTCTTTATCTACTCATCAGTCTATGGGCACTTGGGTTGTTTCCACATCTTGGCTATTGTGAATAATGCTGCAACGAACATAGGGGTGCATAAATCTCTTTGTATTGTTGATTTCCTGTTTTCTGGATAAATACCCAGTAGTGGGATAGCTGGATCATATGGTATTTCTATTCTTGATTTTTTGAGAAATCTCTATACTGTTTTCCATAGTGGGTGCATCAGTTTGCATTCCCACCAGCAGTGTATGAGGGTTCCCTTTAAAAGCATTTTTAGGGGCTGGCCTGTGGCCGAATGTTTAAGTTTGTGCACTCCACTTCAGCTGCCCAGGGATTCACCGGTTCAGATTCTGGGCATGGACATGGCACTGCTCATCGACCCATGAGGCAGTGTCCCACATAGCATAACCAGAAGGACCTACGACTAGAATATACAACTATGTACTTTGGAGAGAAGTAGGAAAAAAAAAAAAAAGATTGGTAACAGATGTTAGCTCAGGTGCCAATCTTTTAAAACAAAAATTCTTGAAAAAAAATAAAAGCATTTTTATTAAAGTCAGGAATATGGCAAGCATGCCCACATAAAATAATACTTGTTCTAATGGTTATAAGACAAGAAAATGATATGATATTAGAAAGAAAGAGACAAACTGATGACTTTTACAGATGGTATTGTTATTCACATAGAAATTCAAGAGCATCTGCTGAAAAACTAATAAGTATTTATGAAGCAAAATGCAGCTGTATTTCTGGCTATACGATCACAAGATACAAAAATCAATAATTCTCCCTGGTGTCAGAAATAACTAAATAGAAATAAAATAGAAAAAAGATATAATTTACGATAGCAATAAAAATTATCAATTACCTCAGGAAACAAACTAGCCAAAGGGCCAAGCCCCGTGGCACAGCGGTTAAGTTCCCACATTCCACTTTGGCCACCTGGGGTTCGCCAGTTCGGATCCAGGGCGTGGACCTACACACTGCTTGTCAAGCCATGCTGTGGCAGGCATCCCACATATAAAGTAGAGGAAGATTTGCAAGGATGTTAGCTCAGGGCCAGTCTTCCTCAGCAAAAAGAGGAGGATTGGCGGCAGATGTTAGCTCAGGGCTAATCTTCCTCAAAAAACCCCCACAAACAACAACTAGCCAAAGATACAAGAGCCCTATGGAGAACATGATAAAACATTATTAAAGGATGTAATGGGAGACTGAAAACAGTGGAACCATATGTCATGTTCTTGTCTGGGAAGAATCCAGACTGAAAAGATGTCAAATTAATCTATTAACCCAATGCAATTTGAATCCAAATCCCAATAGGATTCTTTTTTATAACTTAGACCAACTGATTCTAAAAGTGACATTGAAGATGAGCCAAAACGATACTGAGAAAGATGAGGAGAGCTTTCTGTGTTAGATATTGAAGCTCATTACTAGCGGCATACCCTGTGGCCCAGTGGTTCCTCTTGTATGTATGTGGCCCACTGTACATACTGTCTGTGGATTCACACACTTATAACTGATGTATAAAAACAGGGGCTCAGTGCACATACATCAGACTGATCATTATGACTGCCTCCAGGAGGGAGGGAATGGGATTAAGAATGACAACAGGGGAATTTAAACTTTTTTTTAATGTTCTATTTTTTTAAACATATCTGGAGCAGAAATGACAATGTGAATTCTAGGCAGTGGTTACATTGGAGATGAATTGTTCTGTGAATGCTTCTGCATACTTTAAACTTGTCAAAATAAACAAAAAATTCGTTAATTCTCAAAATAGAAACAAAAAGCTTGTATTTACATTCACTGTTTGCTGGGATTTTGCTTTTTAAGTAACACTATTCATCTCCAGATGTTTGGAAAGATATATGGAATTTGAACTACTTTTGTAATTTTAGACGGCCTCATAAATATTGTGAAAATTTCAGCATTCTAAATACTGTTTCTGAGATAAATCTTGTTTATTTTTCACCACTCTTTAAAGATTAGTCAGCTGTCACTAGTAAATGCAAGTGTGAAGTGGCCCTTGGACCTGGATAAAAGTCTACTCTGGATGTGTTTGCAGGGTTTAGGTCCCAAGGAATACAAAGATGCTCAAGGGATCTCCATCCCTTGGAAAGGAGGGTGTTGAGAAAATTACTGCTAAAAATTAAGCAGAAGTTTGCCCCCAGGAAAGCCTCAAGAAAGCCCAAGGGCAGAGTGACACAGGAAAACAACAGCTGGTCTGCATTTTTTTCTTGATGATAAAGTCACAAACAACAGGAACTGTTTTTAGAGTGAGCAGGTCCAGTGTGTTTTTCTCATTCCTCATTTTTTTTGACTTTCTGCTGGATTCGGTGTTGTTACTTGAGTCCTCTGTTGTTGTTTTTTTTGCTGAGGAAGATTAGCCCTGAGCTAACACCTGTGCCAACCATCCTCTATTTTTTATGTGGGATGCGGACACAACATGGCTGAGGAATGGTGTAGGTCCACGCCCAGAACCGAACCCACAAACTCAGATGCTGAAGTGGAGCACGCGAACTTAGCTGCTAGGCCACGGGGCAGCCCAAGTCCTCTGGTTTTTGAGACACCATTATGTGGGCCTGTGTTGGTTGGCCTCTGGTCATTCCTCCTTCTTTGCTGTTTCCATCCCTGCTGCCTTATTCCAGACCAGTCCCTTCTCTCCTTCCAGGAAGTCATCAGCTCTCAAGTGGTGAGCCGGTCATCCCCTCAAAAGCCCTGTCTCCAGCCTGAGCTTCAGGTCGGCGTTTCCTACCACCGAACTCTTCCTTCTGTGTTGCCTCATTCAAAGCTCAGCAACCACCCAGCTTTTCACTTCCTCCAAACGTTTTCTCAGCAGTATCATCATTCTCTTTGGGCAGAAGTTCAGAGTCATCCTCCCAGGTTCTATGACAGCAGGATATGACTGTCTTGTTCACTACCTGGGGTCTCGGGCAGTGCTTGGTACACACAGTAAGTTTTCAGTCAAACTAGTTTCCTGAAAGACAGAGTACTCCCTCATCCACCTCTCCCCCAGCACTGCAAAGCCCCTGTGTCAAGCCCACGCCCGCCAGAAACTGCACTATATTTATCTGATAAAGATGGGTTTTTTTTTAAAGCCAAAACAAATCCCTGAAGATAATAATGTTAGCAATTAAATCACTTGAGTGACCACTATGTTTAAGGAAGATTCCTTCCTTTTTTTTTTTTTTAAGATTGGCCCTGACCAGAAGCAATCTTTTTTCTTTCTTCTTCTCCCGAAAGCCCCCCAGTACACAGTCGTATATTCTAGTTGTAGGTTCCTCTGACTGTACCGTGTGGGACGCAGCCTCAGCGTGGCCTCATGAGCCGTGCCACGTCCGCGCCCAGGATCTGAACCAGCGAAACCCTGGGCCGCCCAAGCGGAGCGCGGGAATTTAACCACCCGGCCACGGGGCGGCCTTAGGGAGCCTCCTTTCTAGTAGGCTAGGGAGTGGGAGAACGGGAAGATACAACTTTATAAAAAAGGACAAGAAACTGATCTCTTCCGAGCAAATAAGAACGTGTTCTTTGCAATGATTGTGCTGTTTGGGTTGAGTCAACTCAATTGTCACGTCCTCGTTCATTTTTGAGATCGCCACGCCTATGTGCCAAAAGGGGGAAGTAGGCGAGTGCCTAATACATAAATACATATTTTTAATGGCACTCAATGCCTATGTTATATACACAAACGAACCCAAACACTCTGAAAGCGTACAGCGAAAAGTGGCGGCTCTTCTTCCACCCCCACCCCCCCCCCCCCCCCCGCTTCTAACGGTAACCGCCAGAAGACTTCTGTTCCTCCATCTGGAACATCTGTAGGCATGCGTTGTACTATTTTTAATCATACTATTTAAAAAACAAGTCTTGAAATAGCTCATTTTGCGTACAACTCCGACGGCTGGCGGTGCGGGCTTCACAGATCGCACAGCTGTGAATTTTGCTTTCTTTTTCCGCGGCGGCTGAGACGCGCGCTCGCCCGCAGTTCCCACCGCGGTCGGGAGGCGCAGGAACAAGAAGGGCAAACACAGCGCAGCCAGCGAGGAAGGCCCGGCCCCCGGGCGGAGGAGGGGCGGTGCGCGGAGGGGGGATGCGGGGGGCGGTGCGCGGAGGGGGATGCGGGGGCGGTGCGCGGAGGGGAGATACGGGTGGCGGTGCGTGGAGGGGGGCTGCGAGGGGCGGTGCGCGGAGGGGGGATGCGGGGGCGGTGCGCGGAGGGGCGGTGCGCGGAGGGGGCATGCGAGGGGAGATGCGCGGACGGGGGATGCGGAGGGGGCGAGGCATGCGAGGGGCGGTGCGTGGACGGGGGATGCGGAGGGGCGGTGCGCGGCCGGGGGATGAGGGCGGGCCCGGGACCCCTCCCCGAAACCTCCCCGGCCCGGCCCGGCCCGGCCCGCCCCGCGCCCCCATTGGCCGAGGCGGCTTCCGGCGCGCTCCCGGGCGGGGCGGGGCGGGCGCGCGCAGGGCGGAGGCGGCGCACCGGGCGGAGGGCGGGCGCGCGGCCGGCGGAGCGGAGGTGGGGGGCGCGCGCCGCCGAGCCCGGGGCCGCCGAGCGCCCGTGAGCGGGCCGCGTGCGCCGCGGGACCTCCTCCGGGACGAGCGAGCGGCCGGCGGGCCGGGGCGATGGCGGCCGAGGCCCCGCGCGCCGGGGGCCCGCGCGCGCCGTGAGGACGCCCGGCCCGGTGAGGACGCGCGGCCCGTTGGGCCCGCGCCTTTGTGCGGCGCGTGGCGGGGCGCGGGCACGTGGGAGGGTCCGTCCGCAGGAGGCGGTGCCGTCGCGGGGGCGGGGCCTCGGGCCCGGCTGGGGGCTCCGGGCCGGGGGCGCGGGGCGGGGTCCGGGGCGCGGGCGTCCCGCGGGCCCCCGGCGTGACAGGTGCCTGTGGGTGCCCGCGTGGGCGCGCGGGCGGGGCGGGTCCGCGCGGTTGACTCAGCGCTTCCCCGGGCCGGTCAAGTTCGGACACGTTCCGCGGGCGCGGCCGGAGCTAAGCCCCGGCTTGTCTCCAGCGGGGCCATTTAAACGGCGCCCGCCCAGCTGGCCGCGCTGGCCGCCCGAGATAGGTCCCCGCGCTCCGGGGTAGAGCCCTGACCCCGTACCGGCCAGGTAAGGACCCGCCTGCAGGTGGCTTTGGGTGTCATCGAGGCTGTGTCTCCTCGCTGTGTGGTTTGGTCTTTTGACAGATGCTTGATCATTTCGAGTTTTTATCGTGTGGTTTTTTTCCTGCTCTTAGGCAGATGTGCAATACCAACATGTCTGTGTCCACTGATGGTGCAGTAAGCACCGCGCAGATCCCAGCTGCGGAGCAGGAGACCCTGGTTGGTATTTCTGTCTCAAGCGTAACGTTTACGGATAATTTATTTGATGAGCCGATCAACTAAATTCCATAGACCCCAACTCTAGCATGACTCTCAGTGACGTTGTATGTACTAAATTCTCCCACTCTGTGTGGAGTAAAAGTTGACTGTGACAATCAGTGTTTACTTTCTTAGAGCTTTCCCGCACTGGATTTGAAAGTAAGTTCATTACATTCTTACGGTGGATGCTGAAGTTGTGTTTATTATATGACTAATTTGTGTTTCTGTTTTGATCTGTCAGTATTTAACTTTTTAAATAGTTTCTAAAAGTCGCAAAAGTAATTCATGCTTGGAAATATTTTAGACGTTACAGAAATGTGTAAAGTAAAAGCTGAAAATTCCAGGCTTCTTTTTCCACCATGTTTCCTTTTAGATCTCGCTGTGTACATGCCACATATATGCGCGTGTGACCTTTAGTCTGTGTCATCTGTCCTGCTAAAATAGGATTAAAGTAGAGGTGATCAGCAAATAGCATCTATGTCAATATAAAATCAGAATTCTTTTTGATGGCTTCATAGTACTTCATAGCCTTGGTCTACCATTTTTTAAGTTTATGCCTTTACTGATAAATTTTTTTAATTGCCTTTAGTTTTTGAGTCTTACAAATACTGCTCTTTTGTGCATGCATTCTAACACAAGTGTTAAGTGAGCATTTCTGTAAGAAATATTTTATACAAGTGAAACTCCTGGGTCCTAAACTATACACATATTTGATTGCTGCTGCTAACTTGCTCACCAAGAGATTGTACTAACATTGAATCTTCTGTTTTTTAAATTGCCATTTTTTTGGTAAAAGGTACTCTGTCGTTGTTAAAATTTGTATTTCCCTAATCTCTGGTGAGGTTGAGCATCTTGTTTGTTAAATCATTTGTTCTGGGGTTTGCCTGGTCTTTTCTGTCCACTTTTCTGTTGGTTTTAGTGTATTTTTCTGAATAATTTGTAGTAATCTCTGCATTTCTAGCGTATTTAACTTTTATCATTTACACATATTGGGTTTAACTTTCATCATGTTGTCTTTTTCCTGTTGAGAATGTTCTTTTGAAGTCAAATTTGTTGGCTTTTGAATTTTGTAGCATGAAGATCGTGCTTTGGAAGAACTCTCCCATCACAAGATTATGCACACATGTTACTATATTCTCTTCTAGTTTAAAAAATTTTTACATCTAGATCTTTGTTCATCTGCAGTTTCTCTTTTTGTTCTTGAGTGTAAGATTAAGAATGATGCTCTTTTATAGCAGTTTCCTTACTAATGCATGTCTTTTAAGTGTTAATAAAAAACTAATGGCTTTCATTGCTGATTTTTACTTTGTTTCATGTGGTTTGAAGTTAATATAGCATATATAAAATTTTAGGAGAAAAAAGTATCTTTTCTGAGAGAGTTCATTCTTTAGTTTGAAAGTAAAGCGCGTATGTAAGCACATGAAAAATGTGTGATTGGAACAATTAATGATTCCGTACTACACTTATTGTGTATTTTAAATTTGCAGTTATTAAATATTGTTGTGTTGATTAGTTGGAAATAGGTCATTTTTCTTAAATCTAATTTTGAGAGTTAGATCCCAAACTGGGATGCTGTCGGATTTCAGAGTTAGACAAAGGACAGGAGTACCTCGAGAGGCCCAGAGGCACCGTCCTGACGGGCGGCGGGCTGTGAAGATCCTTGAGTGTGAAGAGTCCGATAGAGCAGCAGATAGGAGGAGAGGAGCACATCGTGTCCCTCCCGCTTCCTGGTTATTTCTTAATCCCACTTGCAAAGCCTCTAGATCAGGGTCAGGCACACCACAGCCTGTGGGCCGAATTTGGCCTGCTGCCTGTTTTTGTAAATAAAGTTTTATTCAAATACAGCCAAGCCCATTGGTTTCCATATTACCTATGCCTCTGAGTCAGACCATCTGGCAGGGAAAGCTTAAAATATTTACTCTCTGGCACTTCACAGGAAAAATTGACCCCCTGATCTACTTGGCTGGCTCCTTGAATAGAGGTCATGTTGTACTTGTCATTGTTTTGCAATATCTGGCACTGTCTGGTGCATGGTAGGAGCTCCATAAATGTCAAGTAGATACTTGAAATGCAGACCAACTAAGGCAGCAGTATATCGTAGGAAGAAAATGCTGACCTGTCGCTGACAGATGTGAGTTACACTCTCAGATCTGCTTTTCATTATCCTCGTCAGCTTGGGTTAGTTATTTAAGTTCCCCATCTTCAGGAACCTAATCCGTAGAAAGAAAAGATTGGTAAAAGAACCCACCCTAAAGGTTTATTCTTTTCCCTTGGATTTTGTAACTTAGCTTACAGTAAGTTCATTGGAGTATTCCTCTTATGGCTGACTTTGTAGGGTAGTCAGCAGATGATAGAAATAGCTGGAGGAAGAAGCATTTTCACTGTGTTGGTGTGGGTACTGTTTTTGATTACAGCTGATGATACTTGAGGGTTCTTTGCAGAATAATCAGATCCCAGCATTTTTTCCAAGGCCCCCCGACAGTCGTTGGCATTTGGTTTATATAGTCTGTTACATTTAGGGGAAACATGAGGACTTATTTTGTGAGGTCTGACCTTTGAGCTTGTTAAACATAGTGCCTGCTGCCTTTTTTGGAATTGTTTATGGACGTTTTTGTTAGGGGCCTTGTAGTTCTGGAATAATTTTGGAAGTATAATAGCAACTTCTTGTTCTTTGCAGGTTAGACCAAAGCCATTGCTTCTGAAGTTGTTGAAGTCTGTCGGTGCACAAAAGGACACTTATACTATGAAAGAGGTGAGCTGACCCAAGAGTGAACGAGATAACCGATGTCTTACTAGTTATAATTAGCCCTGGGGAGAAACTGGCCACACAGGATCGTCAGTAAGCAGCTGTATTAAGTATTGTGGTCATTTGGACTATAATTTGAAGCTAAAAATTCTAATGATACTTGAATTGCGTTTCTCAGCTAGGGACTGAGAGGCAGCGGGAAGCTTTGCAGGGTTGTTAGCCATTTTGTGCTGTGGACCCACTTGGCAGACTGGTAATTCCTTCTCAGAACCATGTTTTTAAACTCATGAACTAAAATATATAGAATTACATAGGAAGCAAATTATATTAAAATAGTTATCAAAATAGTAAATGAGATTGGGATATGTGCTTTTTTATTAACACATTAAATGATGAGATTTAGCAGTTGATCTAATAGCTATGATTTTGAAGTAGTGAGGAGTATAATCGATAGTTCGAGATGTTAACTCCAAGCATAGTATGATATGAAAACAATTGTGATTTTTATTGACAGAATCACAGATATTGCTAATACTTTGTGGTTTGTTGCCTATATTCACAATTGAAGGAAAAGCTAAATTTCAGTTAAAAGTTAGTGAAAATAAAGATAGAAATTTTTTTCCATCCAAATTAATGGACCCCCTGAATTCTATCCAAGGACTTCTTGGGCATCCATGGATCCCAGGTTAAGAGCTTCTGCACTAGAGTGCGTGGGTACAGTGTACTGATCTTTCTGGGCAGAGGTGAGCTGCTTCGTGGAGACGTGTTCTGTTTAATGGATACACTTCAATGTATTGTTCTCTAGCTTTAAATTTGTGCACAGAAGCGTGACTTTCACTGAGAGATTGGGTCATCTTAGGTGAAATTTCAGTGTGATTGAAATGTGCCTCTTTCCCATCTCTCCCACTTAGTTTACGGGGCTCAGGTTGCTTAAAACACTAAAGTCCCTTACCTACATCAGGATAGTGGGGCAGGAAGAGATGCCAGACCCTTTTCCTTTTCAGGCACTCTTTTTTTAAATTTTTAAATTTTTTATTTTTTTGAGGTAAATTACCCCTGAGCTAACATCTGCCGCCAATCCTCCTTTTTTTGGTGAGGAAGACTGGCCCTGAGCTAACATCCATGCCCATCTTCCTCTCCTTTATGCGTGGGACACCTGCCACAGCATGGCTTGACAAGCGGTGCGTAGGTCCACACCCGGGGTCCGAATTGGTGAACCCTGGGCCGCTGAATTGGAGCATGTGAACTTTGCTGTGCCCCTGGGCTGGCCCCTGTTCAGGCACGCTTTTATAAACTTCCCTATGGGCTGTTTGGTAGGAGTCTAGGTTCTCTTCCCGCTTCTGCCAGCCGTCTCCAGTCCATAGTTGTGGAGGAGTATTCGTTTACTCTGCACCCTGCCAGCCTGTCACGTGATTAGACAGTGCTTGCAGGGAAGTGTCAGGGTAAATTATGTTTTTAGGGCTGTTAACCTGGGTTTGACCTTATTATTATAAAAGCAATTAAGGAAACAAACAAGTATGGATTTAGTAGCAGATAGAAACGGATCGAGGCCGTCACAGCGAGCTTGGATGCTTAGCCAAGCCCTGTAACAGCAGTGTGGATGTTGTCTGGTGCAGGTTTCAGTTGTGGGATGTTAGTTCTGAGACGCTGGGAGAGTGATGCCAGCTAGTATGGGGTAGTAGAGAGAACTTTGGACTAGGCGTCAGAAGGCTGAGTCAGTTTCCTTATTCCTAATATGGTGATAATAGTTCAATGAAATAACAGAAGAATGGGACAGCACTTGTAAAAGTGTACCATACGTGTTTAGGTGGTTGTTGGTGGGTGTGTGTGTGGAAGTCTTAGAATGTATTGCTGACATCTTTGTCTCAGTGGGGCATACAGAGTGTAAATTAACTGTAAATACATGATTCGGGGTCATTATTGATTGTTTGTGGTTGTATGATTGTATTGATACTTTTGAGGGCTTATTTCATTCACTGAATTCTCCCAGAATGTTAGGTAGATGTGATTGGTCATTTTCCTGTCTTCCTTGTCTGTGGTGACCTCACAGGCTGTGTGGTGTCCGGGATCTTTACTAAATGACTCCGGTCACTGCTGTATTCTGGTTGATGTTTCTGATTCTGTAACTTTTTATCACTATCAGTGGTTTTGCATTTTTCTGCTTTCTCCCTTCTTTCTAACGTGTCGCACCTAGATAGTATCTGGACAGAGTTAAAGTCTGCCAAAAAAAGAGACGCATTTTAAGGTTTGAGTAAATCTGAGAAGCAGTGTCTCTACGTCCATCACACTGAAAAGATTTCAGAGCAGCTTTTTCTGCGCGCAGGACGGTGGTTATTCTGAGTGCTTGTGGACGCGGTTGCTGTTGAACCCTCTTCCGATAAATGAGATATTACTGAATGTATTTGAAACTAACTTTTTTTCTTCAGCGCTCGGAAATCGTGTCTGTGTTTCAGGTGATCTTCTACCTTGGCCAGTATATCATGACTAAGCGGCTGTACGACGAGAGGCAGCAGCACATGGTGTACTGCTCCAACGATCTGCTGGGGGACCTGTTCGGCGTGCCCAGCTTCTCTGTGAAAGAACACAGGTGCGCTCCTCAGCCTAGTCCACTCTGAAGGCCAGCCGGCACACGCTTCGGTTCACCCCACCCTCACTCCCTGGGGCAGAGAAGAATTGTGACTGTATACGTAAGAGGAGCTGAAATTTAATTTCTTAGCAATATAGCATGTTGCTTGAGACTCTGAGTCCTGGAGTCTTGGAAAGCTGGGTTTGAGACCTAGCTCAGTCATTCACTAGCTGTGTGACGAGGCCAACTGACTTGCCCTCTCTAAACCTCAGTTTCCCCTGTTTGTAAAGTAGGGGTAATATAAATACTTCATGTGGAGGTCATGAAGAGACGTCGTGTGGAAAGCGTAGTGTCTGGCACAGAAAGCACTTGCATGTTAGTTACTGCATATTAAAAATGTTATTGCCGTCACTTGCAAGGACAGTCTGTATACCACCCTGCGGGTGAGGCCTCAGTTACCGTGGAGACCACTCTGTCATATACCTTGATGGCCTCAGTCAGCTGAGTTTTCCTACTGGGAACTGAAGACTGTTTCTCTGTCATTCTTACCTCACATTTGAGTTCCTGTCCCGTTTGGTTTGGTGCGGTCAGTCTGTGTGGAGCCTTAACACGTATCTTAATGAACGGGGTGAGTGCTTTTCACCTGAAGCAGGTAACTAGACTCTACTAGTCTTTAATGCCCAGTAACGTTACAGCTAAAAAGATGGTCGTTAAATGGGGTATTTTTCACTGTCACACAACTGTGTTATTATAAACATAATACATATTCATTATTGAGCATTAGGAAAAGACAGAAAGCTAAGAATAGGAAAAAAAATGACCATAGTTTGTCATTGAAAGGTATTTTTACTCATCATTTTTATATTATGTCCAGATGTATGTTTTAACCTATTTGTTATCATACTATATTTAATTTCATCTTGCTTCTTAATTTAACATATAAGCATCTTTCCGTTTATAAACCACTTCTGTTTAATATTTAGTTATCGTTTTACACTGACCTTGGGATGTAAGCTCTAATTTTGTAAATTTACCGAATAACTGTCTCTGTGACTTGCGCCGTTTGAGTACTGAATCTTCTGATAGGTTTGGAGGCGTGGGTTCTGGTGCTGAAAGCGCAGTGTTAGGATTACCTTTCACTGCGCTCTGACGTAACTGGGGAAGTTCTGGCGCGGACAGAGCCCCTGCAGAGGAGCGTCGCACAGGGAGCTGCAGCTTCAGCCCCGAGGGTGAAAAGAAATGCTTGGGGTTCGCACTTTCCCCTTAACCTTCAAATCTGTGACCAGTAAACATTCTCTAAAATCATTAGTTTAAAAAAGAAAGAAAGAAAAATGTGCTCTGACGTGAGTGAGCTCCGGAGTGAGAGCTGTCGGCCTGCACGGCTCTCGGCCCCTGAGGGGGAGGTTTGTTTATTTCGTTCTTTGCCTTCCTCGATTTCTAGAACAGTGACAGGTCCATAGTAGGTTCTCAGACTGTATTTATTAAATGAATAGATACTGCTTTATCTGTTAATAAATTTTAAGGTCAAGAAAGAAAACCCATTAGATGATTGGTCCAAGGTCGGTGAAATTCAGAATTATAGTCAAGTTCCTATAGTGGGTCTTGCATAACCCGCTACTATTGTAGGCAATCTGCTTCTAAGCACAGCTAGAAAATTTCTTTTCTGTTTGAAAATAAGTATATTAACCTGCTTCCTGTGTTCACACCCATTTTCTGGGGTCTTTGGTAAAGTCCAAACAAGGCAAGCTTCAGGAAATGGAGATGTGAGGTCTTTCAGCCGGAGACACCTTGATGATTATTAAAAGCAGCTGTCTGTCATCGTCGTGCAACTAACGATGCTGCTTTCTAGGCCTGGAAGCTTGCCAGGGATATAATTTTAATGCAGTGATTTGAAATTTGGTTTGTGTGCGATAGTTCATACTAATAGGCATTTAAAAGTTGGGTTAAGTCCAGTTTAATAGATTTTTATTTTAAAATGTACATCTGTTGTTTTGTTTTTTTCTCCCTCCAAGGAAAATATATACGATGATCTACAGAAACTTGGTGGTCGTCAATCAGCCGGGTGAGTTAACTGTGAAAACCGTGAAAGTAGAAACGCGTTGTAAAGATCTCTGTGCATGCGCAGTCCTTTTATAATTGTGCTTCTCTTTAAAAGTTGCTTTAGTTATGTATTTAATTATAATAAAAGTGTGATAAATTTAACAGGAAGAAATAGGAATGAACTAAAACAATGTCATATTGAGGTTCAAATGCAGATTTGCAATATGTAAAGTTAAGTATCCTCTTACATCAGTTTAAGTCTTGGGATATCAGAGTTGGAATTTGTTTTGGAAGGTAGATGATTTCAGAAGCTCCTGCTTAGTCAAGATGTGCTCGAACCTTGGAACAGGATTGGAAGGCTCTGGGAAGTGATGTGGGTACTAGGTAGGACCAGGTGAAAGGATGGGTCCTCTCTGTTTTTCATAATGGATAGAACTTTGTTACCAAGTTATTTAGGTAAGTGGCATTTTACTTCCCTGCCTTTAGACCTCTGGGTCTTAACTGGTTGTTTTTGGGTCACATGTCCCTTTGATAATCTCATGAAGGCGCTGGGCTCTCATTCCAGAAAGATACGCATGAGTAAGTACAGCGGTGTCCTGGTGAGTGTTTAACAGCCGCTTCTCCGGGGAAAAGCCCCGATGTGTGGTGGTTGCTGATTGCCCTGCTCTGAGTCCGCCCGCCATGGCCTTTTCAGAGCGCAGACGGGGTGTGGGAAGCGCTGCGCACGGGCTGCTGTGCGCGCTGGTGGGAGCCGGCTCCAACACCACAGGCGGCTTTCCTACGCCTGAGAACTGTCCTCAGAAGCGTGTTTACTTCCCAGAACCACCTGACCCCTCCTGTGTGCTCCCCCATTCCGTACTTAGACTGCGTTGCTCTCTTTGTTACACTCACACGTTTACGTTTCTGATCCTGTGTCCTGTTCAGGTTGGCCTTCTGCATCACACAGGACAGAGTTTTGTTCATGTGGTGTTTAGTAAATGTGTTGAACTGAACACTTATTCTTCCAAAGTTAGGATTTAAGACCCAGAAAAGGCCATCACCAACTTATCTCAGAACAGAAGTAATTAGTAGGCTGGTGACTTGATATTTTATTGTTTTACAAAGCTGTTTATGAACCAAATGAAGGCAAGTAAATAGTATCTGTAATAGTATTTTCACTTTTCTGAATATTATACCTGCTGTATTCATTCATTTGTTTAAACCTTGGTAGATTACTAGGACAATGATATTAATGGGATGGTAACCTGTGGGTTACTCACGTTATCTCCATTCTGAGTTTGTTTCAGTTTCAGGCTAGTAGAGTGAACTTCAGAACTCCTGTGTCAGTGTTCTCAGCCTTGTCCCACCTAGCGCTTCCTTTCTGTCACATCTCCTTTATAATACTAAGGCAAAATATAACCTACCCATATGTACAACTTAAAGTTGGTGTAATACCTCACCCATAATACAAAGAAGAAATAAACTGTTAGGAGAATGTGTATAATTGCAGAATGTTAGTGCCCAAGCCTGACTTCACTGTTAAGACGAAGATGTTTTGGGGGGAGTAGTAGAGGGTGTTTGGTGATGACCTTTGGGAGTCGTATACATCCCAGGTCTGAAGCCTTGAGTTTGGAGCTTCAGCTCTCTACATCCAACTACCCACTCTAACTGCCTGCTTATGAGTTTCATCCTCTCCAGTTCATTGTCTTCCCACCCACATCTCTTCGTCTTCTGAATTTCGCTCTTGGTGAATGGTGCCACCCATTTGTCCTCCCCAGGTAGAATCTTGGAGTCCTTCTTGACTCCTTCCTCCACTGCCGTAGATCTCAGACACCAGGTCTCGTTGGTTTCCCCCTTGTCATTTCTCTGGACTGAGCTGTTGTCCACGCCTGCTCTAGGCTTTAGTTCCTCTCGTTTGTCTCTGCGGTCACTGTCGGATACGGGTTTCCCTGGCTCTGCTCTCTTTCCTGTTTTGCCAGAGTGATTTGTCACTCTTCTGCTGAAAATGACCATTTACGAGTTCCTTGTTGTTCTTGGATGAAATACTTGCTGTGAAGCAGCAAGTCCGTTTTATCTCTCGGATGAAACCTTTTCATTGGTGAGTGGCTGCGACAGTGCCGTGCGGAAGATTCTCAATATCGGCTGGGAAGAATGCAGAGAGGCGGGCTTGAGTGCTGCCTGTGGACATGTTTGTGCTGTTCAGCAGCACACACGGGATCCTTGCTGGTCCTGCTTACATTCCAGTGGTAAAGAACTGCCTGCAGTGCACTTCTGGATGCCGTCTTCACACGGCGTCCCTCCTTCTGCAGCGGCCTTTCCTGGGCCTCCTGCTGCACGTTCTCCTGCACACCCTTTCCCGATTCCTCCTTCCTTAGAACTGTCTCTGCCAAATAACCCTTGCTCCATCTCTCCACGAAGTTATCTTATGATAATTCCGTTGTTTATTCTACTTTATAATTACTCTCGTGTATCTTCTATATTAACATGGAACTGTCTTGCACAGGTGGCACCTGGGAGACACGTTTACTGTTGTTGACACGTCCAGTTGTGTAAGGAGTTTCTCCTGGACTGATGTCTGTGGAGCAGCCCTTTCTTTCTTAGTTGGTGATTCTTTGTTTTTATTTTCTATCAGAACCATCAGATTCAGGCACATCTGTGAGTGAAAACAGTTGTCCCCTTGAAGGTGGGAGTGATCAAAAGGTAATCTTGAAATGAACTCAGTCAGCTGTGATGTTTCTTGAAAATTGGAAAAATTATTTCAAACAAAGAATCTTCAGCTTCCTGGTGTTACAGGTTAAGTTGTGTTCTCCCTTTCCTGAATGCTTAGGCCGCTGTGCAGGAGCTGCAGGAAGAGAAGCCGTCGTCTTCGGCTTTGGTGTCTAGGCCGCCCACGTCATCTAGGAGGAGAGCCATCAGTGAGACGGGTATGAGCGCTGGCACTCTGAGTTTGTTTGCTCAGGAAATTGGCGGCTTAATGACCTTGTGCTTTTTTGGTTTAGATGAATGAATTTCTGAGTTTCTGTCATTCTCATTTTTATATGACTTATCTGGTTTAAAAATTGCTTTCTTAGCAGCATTTTTCTGATTGACTGCAGCAGGCACGGTTGACTGTGCCCCCTGGATTTCGTCATTAGCCAACGCCATTGTTCAGGATGGGAGAGGCCAAGGATGTAAACTGTATCTCAGTCGTTATTCTCAGTCATCTTAGCAATTAAAATATTGTGTTGTTTCTCATAAATGGTAAAACATAACAATGAGTTTAAAAACAGAGAAAGTAAATAGTGTCTTAGAAGTGAAGACGAGGAAAAGAAAATAGCTGAGAGCATTTTTGCAGAGAAAAGGCAGCGGGGGAGGCCGTTGCCTGGTCAGAAGTCGTAATCCCCAAGACGGTGTGATCCATGTGAGGACGTGCGCAGCAGGCCCTGAGCCTGGATCCGGAAACCCGGCCAGAGTCTGTGCGTGAGGTCAGAGGGCAGAAGCTGTCTTCGTGGGACTCAACAAATGGTTGATAATTTGGGAAAAAAATCAAGTTATGTTTGTACCCTATACCAAGATGAATTCCCAATGAGTTTAAAAGATAGATGAAAAAAATTACAACAAATTTGAAAGATATTCACTTTAAATTTGACAGTGTTAATATCTTTATTACATAAAAAGTTCCCAAAAGTCACTAAGAAAAATATCAAAAATTTGAAAAGGTAAAAAAACAAAACCCAAAACACCAAGAGGTATTTCATAGTAAATACAAATGACTAATAAGTTTGAGGGTGGATATTAGCGATTTAGCTTTGTGGATAATGAAAAATGCAGAAAAGTGTCTTTTCTGGTCTATAAATTAGCAAAGGTAAGTTTTTGTACTGATCCTTGCTGACGTGTCTTGGCACTGACACACTGATGGTGTGCCACTTAGTTTAAATTGGTTAAACCTTTGGACTTTAGAAAGGCTTGCGTTCTTACCATTGCCCCAGTAGCTCCATTCTTGGAATCTATCCTAGGGGTATGATCAGAAATGCAAAGATTCTATGTAGAGGTATTAATTATGAGATTTAAAAAAAAATTTTTTTTTTTTAAAGATTGGCATCTGAGCTAACATCTGTTGCCAGTATATTTTTTTCCTCCTCCTTCTCCCCAAATCCCCCCAGTACATAGCTGTATATTCTCCTTGTGAGTGCCTCTGGTTGTGCTATGTGGAACACCGCCTCAGCATGGCCTGATGAGTGGTGCCATGTCCGCGCCCAGGATCCGAACCAGCGAAACCCTGGGCTGCTGAAGCCAAGCGGGGAACTTAACCACTCGGCCACAGCGCCGGCCCCTATGACATTGTTGGTAACTGGAAATACCTGTGGTGATGAGGATGTCCTCCGTCTGCTCCAGGCTGTGGCCGTCCCCTGCCTGGACCACGGCAGCAGCTTCTGCCCTTCTGTTCCTTCACACAGTCCCCAGAGAGACGGCGAAAGGGGAATGAGACCCTGTCACTTCCCCACGTAGCTACTTTGGTCACTTACCTTTGACCTTCAGTTAAACTCACTCTTTTTCCTGGGTCTGCGAGGCCCTGACCTGCCTGCAGCCTGCTTTGGGGCCTCTCCTCTACCTGCAGTGTCTCTGCTGCACTGCTTGCTTTGGTTCCTCCCATCTTCCTGCTTTAGGGCCATTTGCACACAGTTTTTTTTTATGCCAGGAGCTCTTCTACCTCCACTTTGCAAGACCAGCTCCTCGTTTTTCTGTTTTTACTTAAATATGACCTTCTTGGAGAAGCTGTTTCTAACCACCCAGAAAAGCAATCCTTTCTTGTTATTTTATTTAATTTTTTTTTGGTGAGAAAGATTCGCCCTGAGCTAATATCCATTGCCAATCTTCCTCTTTTTTTGCTTGAGGAAGATTGTCCCTGAGCTAACATCTGTGCCAGTTTTCCTCTCTTTTATATGTGGGATGCCTCCACAGCATGGCCGATGAGTGGAGTGTGTCTGTGCCTGGGATCCGAACCCGGGAACCCTGAAGTGGGGCACACGGAACTTTAACCACTCAGCCACAGGGTGGCCCCCGTTTTCTTGTTATTCTTTGCCCTAGCACCCTGCTGTTTCCTACACAGCACTTGTAGCTCATAAATGTGTATTTCAGTTGCTTTGACGTTTGAATGTAAACTTCCTCTGGTGGCCAGAATGATGGCTGACTTCACGTTTGTAGTTCCGCGGCCTGGCGCTGTGCCCGACAGGAAGCAGGTGCTCAGATATGTGGACTGAGCGGTTCAATTACGATGGACCATACATGGACCTATGTCATGGACACCATATTCTGCAGCCATTAAAGATAATGTAGAAGAACATTTCAGAGAAAATAATCCAGAAATTGTATATATATGTACGTATATTTGTAGTGTGTGTTTCAAATATTTTTTTAAAAAAGGAAATAAACTGAAAAAGCCACTGGAAAATTACTACACTAAAATGTCTATAGTAGTTTTCTCTCAATGGTAGCATTACAGAAGTTTACATTTTGTTTTTTTTCTATTTTTTTAAGATTTCTACAGTGAGTAATATAATTCTTTAATAATCAGAAAAACCCCAAGTGTTATTTTTAATGGAGGTGAGACATAGCAGTAGCGGGGTGTGGGCTTCTGTCCGATGTCACTCAGCCCAGACCGCCTGTTCCTATGGGGAGTACAAGCCCGGTGAGGGACTTCTCTCGGGGCCTTTGATCATTGATTTTGATTCCTGTTGAAAATACAGGGTAGGTACTGAGGAAATTTGAAAGATTAAGAATACCTTCTAAGTAAATTAAGCATTTTTGGTTATTTTCAGGAGAAAAATCTTATATCCTAAAGTTTGACTTTGACAGACAAATCCTATATTGTTTAGTTAATGAAAGCTCTAGATGAATTAAATTGTGAGTTAAAGGAGATAAAGTTCTGAAAGAAGCTTAAAAAGCTTTTGGAAATAGAGTGTTCTGCTGTAACTCTCAGACAGGCGGATTCCGTACAATAGTGTTGACTTTTGAAACCCTAGGACTTCACTATTTTTCTCTGTTTATTTCATTGAAACTGAATTTCAGTAGAAATAGGTACTCATGACAGTTCAATTTCTAAGTAAATCACAGTATAGCCATTGGACTAACTCGTTTCCTTGCACATCCAGAAGAAAACTCCGACGAGTTGCCTGGTGAGCGGCAGAGGAAGCGCCACAAGTCCGACAGCGTCTCGCTGTCCTTCGACGAGGGCCTCGCGCTGTGTGTCATCCGGGAGATCTGCTGCGACGGCGGCAGCAGCAGCGAGTCAGCCGGGACGCCGTCCGATCCGGTAACCTCCTCGTTTTAAGTCAAACGGGACTCCTGGCTTTGCAATCCAGCTCTGCCGTGCTGGGGAGCATTCAGATAGCGAGCGCGTGTGTGGCGTGCGGTTGCTGCTGTACACCGGGGAATTTCTGTCCAGTGAAACTGCTCTCGCTCTCCCCCAACCCCAGGTGTGGGGAGAAGGGTGGAAGGTAGTGGAGTTGCACTGGGGTATGTTGGCAAAATTAGGACCAACATGAATAGTTATTAATGTCACCTTCCGTGTTGGAGAAGCTTGTGGGCCACTGCGCCAGTGGTAAAGTCAGATAAACTGGAGTATAGAGTAGTCTGAGAATTTAGAAGTTTTACTTTTTAAAAAATAAGGAACAAAAATGAAAATTTGGTTCAGTTAGGTGTCTAGGGTCCTAAGGCAAAGCTGTCTTGAATATTTAGAGTAGAAGCATCTTTTTTGTTCCAGCTGTCGGGAGCATGCCAGCGCAGTCTGCGGTTCCCACGTGCCCACGTAGGTCGAGACATCACGGAAGGTCTGTGCGCTCAGGCTGTGACATATGGGTCATTGTCGCACGGATCGCGGGCGAGAGCTGTGGTTCCTGATTGTCGGATACAAAATTCCAAAGTATTAGCCAGGAGTAAAATTCATAAGAGATCTCACTGAAGTTTGGTAAAACAGTGTTTGCTAACAAGAATGCTCGACAAATGGGATATTTTCCTTCTTGTCATTCAGTGTGTCTTTGACACGTCGCTAAATCGGGAACCTTTATTTGAGCTGTGGCCGTGTCTCCTGGTCATTATGGGAGATATTAGTGGTCATTCCTAGTTCTCTAGAAGATGGAAGGACTGAACCCGCTGTGACAGTGACCTGCTCTCACTTTTCCTGTATCCTTGTCCCGTCTTGTGTTTACCGGCTTCTCCAGAGCAGGGACTTGCGGAGGCAGAGGTGCCGCGTCAGCGTTGGTGGAGCTGGTCCCTGGATTGGCCACTAGAGGGCATGACGGGCTCCGAGAACAAGTTCTCCCTTCAGGAGATGCTCTAAGGTCTCCTGGAGGCCCGGCCCCGTTTGCGGTAGAGACAGAGGGGTAGTCGGGGCAGACAGAGTCCCTGCCCGCGTGGAGAGAGATCATCAACAGTCAGACAAGCAACTAAAACATTTAATAAATGCTATGAAAAAAATACAGGTTCTTGAGAGCAAATACGTCTGATGTGAGAATTGAATCCAGTTAAAGAAAACTTGACATGTACACAAACTTGACGTGTGGATAATTTTATTTCTTGCAAATGGTTTAAATAGAACTGCTCTGCCCCGTTAGACTCAGTCTTTGACAGAGCTGTTTCAGAATCCTCGCTGAATGGTCTTGGCTGTCCTGGTTCTTGCGTTCTGCCTGGGGCGCTGCTGTGTTATCAAAGCAACGCAGAGGCTATTTCCTTTTTTTTTTTGTTAGTCCTCTCCTACACTCTCTTCTAAAAATCCTATCTAGTAAAAATCTGCTGTTTTTCGGGCTCCGTCCCCAGTCATTAAAGCTTTTGTAGGGCCCATTTTTTTTCTTCGTTTTAGCCTCCCTCATGTCATGTCGTCACTCAGTGTCATCGTTCGCCACTGTGAAGGGAGCTGAAGCCACGTGCTTTCGCCTCCATCTCTTCTTTCTTTTGGGTTCAATAAATTAGGGAACTGAGGCTATTTTCTAGGCCCTAAACTGGGCAGTTTACATGATATATATTACTTTATCATCTCAGCAGCCTCAAACTCTTCAGATGGGAAAACTGAGACTTGAGAGTTTCAAATAACTCAAGATCCTGTAACTAATAATTGTCACAATTGGAATTCAGACAAAACCAGGCATTTCTGACTTCAAAATTTAAGATATTTCCAGATTAAGGCTGTCTGATGCTTTTTAAATATATAATATTTAAAAGTTTCTAGGTTGTTCTTTTTTGAACATTAGCCAAAACTTTTTAAAAGCAACTTTTAATACTTGCTTTCTTCATAGTACCCTAGATGAGGGGTGGGCAAACTTTCTGTAAAGGGCCAGATAGTGACTGTTTTGGGCTTTGCAGGCCATGTGGTCTCTGGTGCAGCTGCTCAGCTCTGTTGTGTTAGGCTGGAGCAGCCCTGGACAGCTGGTGCATGGGTGGGCGTGGCTGTGGCTGTAAACCCATATTCATAAAAATAGATGGGTGGTGGGCCATTGTTTGCCCACCCTGCCATAGAAGATGCTTTTTTTTCTTTCTTTTTTTTTTTGAGGAACATTAGCCCTGAGTTAACGTCTGCCAACAGTCCTCCTCTTTTTTGCTGAGGAAGACTGGCCCTGAGCTAACATCCGTGCCCATCTTCCTCTGCTTTATATGTGGGACACCTGCCCCAGCATGACTTGACAAGTGGCGTGTAGATCTACACCAGGAATCTGAACGGGCAAGCCCCGGGCCACCAAAGCAGAACGTGTGGACGTAACCGCTGCGCCACTGGGCTGGCCCAGAAGATGCTTTCTGAGACTTACCTTTTCTTGTGACTTACCTCTTCATTTTAGACTTAGTGCACTGAAGACTAGTTAATTGAAGTACCCAGTTTGTTGGGTTGCTTTCTTAGAGGTGTTTCCAGCTAGACTTGTGATGTTAACCTGGTTGTTGATAGAGCCCTGTGAGGCCCCAGGGCTGCGGTGTGGCTGCTGCTACTGCTGTGCTGACATTGCTGTAAAAAACAGGTTTTTGATCTCAGTGGTTATAAAATAATACGCTTTGTTGTTGTTTTTATAAATGATGGAACTCTTAGAGTGCATTCAGTCCAGATTCCTGTCATGGGGGAGGGGCTGCGGCCTTCACAGGTGAAAGATGTCCGAGGTGGAACAGCCTCTTAGTGGCAAGTCCAGAGTAAGACGGTATGTGTCCTGACTCCCAGACCACTGTCCTTTCTGTATGCCAGCCTTCTGCTTTGTCACATGTCCCTGCCCCAGCCCCCGACAGCAGTATCGTGGGACTGAAGGTCTTATTAGGTTCTCAGACTGTTAACTAAAGTCCTAAAATGAGGCGTCACAGGAGCAGTTACAGAATTTTAAAAATAAATTTTAGAAAATTATGTCTAAAAGCTCTTCTGAAGAAATTATTCTCAAAGTTTATTTGAAAACATAAAGCTCAGAATTACTGTGCGTGTTGTAGCTTCTGGCATTCTTCTGATCTGAAGATAGAAAGATGACTGAGACATGGTCTTAACTCTTGAAGTGTGTATAGTTCAGATAAGAAACATGCATGCAAAGTAATGTTTTGCATAATTTTTGTGAAAAGATATGCTGTTCAATAATACCGTCTAAGTGGTCAGGATCATTGAAGGGGGAAGAGCTGTTTTCACTATGGGATTGACAGAGACTTCGGCAGAAAAGCGTGAGCAGGACTTAGAAACTGTCCGGTTGTTCCAGTCAGAGAGGGAAAGGGAGGGAATCGAGGTGCCAGGTTTGGTTTGGGGAACCATCTAGATCTGGCTGCTGGTCGATATTTATTGGGGGGAGCGAGTGTCTCCTGGACAGAAGACGAAGGCGCTAACGTCGTCGCACCGTATGAGCCTTGACTGCCAAGGGGCTTCAACCCTTTCCGTTAGTGGTGGCGTTTTGAACAGGGAATGACGTTACCGTGGCAGTGCCCCCGAATCGTGGTCTGGTGTCGGCGGAGGCTGGCTCTGAGGGAGTTGGGGCACACTGGGGAGTTGGGGAGCCCTTACGGAGGCCAGCGGGTCGTGCACGTTAAGTTGCTTTTCCTTCCGGATTTCAGGATCTGGATGCTGGCGTCAGTGAACGCTCAGGTGACTGGTTGGATCAGGATTCCGTTTCAGACCAGTTCAGTGTGGAATTTGAAGTGGAGTCGCTCGATTCGGAAGATTACAGCCTCAGCGAGGAGGGGCAGGAGCCCTCGGATGACGATGACGAGGTAGGCTTTTCCTCTCTGTTCCAAAGTCATTAAATGTTTTTCACGTTCACTGACTGATGAGATTGAAACAATAGTGTATTCGGATTGCGCTGGAAATCTTGGGCTCTTGATTTGTTCAAACTAGAATATTGTTCTGTGGATTTGAGGCTTCTGTGGTTCCTTGTTGTCTGACTTATGTTCTTACGAGCGCTAATGCCAAGAAGTCAGTAGGCCTTAATGAGCATTCTTATAATAGGCTGCTCATTTTTAAAAACATTTAATTCAGTTCCCCTCATTTAATATTAATTTACTTTTTATAAAAGTAAAGTGTGTGCCTGGTTAGAGTCACACAGCACCTCCAGACCTGTTTCTGGAGGTGACACCTTCAGCGTTCCCCGCTGCTTCACTGTCACTCAATACCTCCATATTTATAGAATAAAAATACTCGTACTGAATTTTTTCTTCATTTGTGTACACATCCTGTCTGCTGCCTTTTTACCATGTGCGAGAGGATGTCACTGTCCTCTACACTCACGCGTTCCACTGGACTTCTGTTTCAGAATTTCTCACATGTGGGAACATACGCTGTGGTTTAGGACTTTCCACTAAGAAGCTTTCCTGGTTGAAGAAAAAAGGTGATGAATTGATGCCAATGGGTTTATTTTATTAGGTATATCGAGTGACTGTGTATCAGGCAGAGGAGAGCGATACAGATTCATTTGAAGAAGATCCTGAAATCTCCTTAGCTGTAAGTATACATCTGCTTTTTTAAGGAATCAAAAAATAACATGAGGTCGAGGTTGGAAAAAGAGGCCTAGCCTACTTTCTGACGTGAGGTAATTTTTATAAAGTTAAATCTTTTTAAAGTTTTAATGATTTAAAGCATTCTTGTTCCTTTATTTGCTGCGTTGGCATCTGTTGTTACATGTTTTCGGGTTTTTCTGTGCTGGAATTTGAACTTTTAAAGAACTTTTATGGAACATTTCCGGTATGTATAGCAGAGAGGGTGGTGTCGTGCCTGTCCAGGGTGCTTAGCACCCAGCTCTGACAGCTCCCAACATTTGCCAGCCGCATCAAACAGAAACATTTGTTCCACTGATGTGTATTAGAGAATGTGGTAGGATTTGCCATTAAAGAAATCAGGAATTAAACATTTATATTTCATGCCTTATTGGGTTCCTGAGGTTTTGGAAGTTTTTTTTAACTGAATATTATTGCTTTCACTTTTGTTCTTAATACTGCCTTGTATTATATTTGAATAGGAAATCTCATTTTTCTTTTCCGAGTTGGAAACATTTATTAATTATCCAAATGCAAGAAAAGAAGTTGAAAATGTAAAATTATTTTGCTATATTTGAAAATAATTCAAGTAACTAGTTGACTCATCTGATGTCAGGTTGAGTGAAATGTTTAGGCCTCAGATCTTGAAGTTGTTGGACTCGAGGAAGCACGTCCGCCCCGCCCCCCCCCCCCCCCCCCCCCCCC